TCTTTCCCCAAAACCGTGTTTTTGGGCGTCGAAACAACTTTTTGCCATACATTTCCTTCTAGCGACTTGCAATGTTTGCCCCCTGACGATCCCAGAGTGCTTTGCGCAAACATGGGTATCCGATTACTGGCAACTCATTTATAATACTTGCTTCTATTCATCTTTCCCTAAAACATCAAGGACGTAGTTAAAATCGTGGGTTTCTGCACGCAAAAGGGGAGGTGTCCCAACAACTTATGGCCGGGATTGTCTGAATCTGAAAAGATTTAAAAAAATCAGGGAAATTATCTTTATGCAGGGCATGTTATCAAAATTAATGCTGAAATATTGTTTTCCTTAAGTATAAGCTTGTTCGGTGAAGTTTTGAGTACTTAAGGGAAATTGTCAGGAAACCTGCAAATAATAACTGATAAAGATCGTGTGCGTACTCTACAACTGTTTGCTGATGGCATGTACTGATAACAAGTTTTTGTCTCGGAGTAAAAATAAGGATGATCGAGTTGCAAAGTAAAAGGTAACAGACAGTTTATATCACAACATATAGTTGTATTGACTCTTCCAAGAATTTCAGTGTAATAATTCTACAATAGGTTGTGTCAGTAGAGGCACATAGTGCACCTACTGGCAGCTTCGCCTGTGCTGAAATGAACCACTACCACTTTCACATGGCTGTGAAGCTTGCCAAGAGAGTAAGGTGGTTTCAAGTAAGGAACTATTTAGATGAAAAGCTTGGAATAAAAGTTAACTTTACTGAAATGATGAACGTACGTTGGCAATTTTTCCGCCTTCGGAATCCCATAAGAAAGGAGGGGCACCAAGACTTGTCAACCTGTGGGTGCTGCTTCGCAACATTCATAATCACAAATGCAGGCGAGGAAGATTTGAGGGAGTAACGCAATCGGTAGTCATGGCTCACGTCTGAGAACTGCACATTTCTCACCAGTAATTCCCCAATTTCTAGTGGGTTTAGTTGTCAACAATTCATTTCAACATGTCCCTAAACTGTGATATTATGTACGACTTATCAGAAAACCATTTTTAGGTGACATGTAACAGTTTTTCTCAGTATTTCAACATTTCTCACTCCGTTATCTAAAAAATATGTCAGGAAGTAACTGTTTTTAAGTTTTGTACTTGGTGAGAAATGTTCGCTATGCGAAGTGTGACCGATATGTTTTGTTAAAAGCACATTATCTTGAATATTTCGAGTTCATAACACTATCCTGTCACATACAATCGCAACCGAACGAACATAATGTCTGATAATTTGAGAAGATAAGGTGAGAAATGTTCGTACCTCAAGTGAGAAATGACGGTACCTCCTCATGACATTGAAAGGCTTTCGTTGTCATGCAGCCAGTATTGACCGATTTTGCGAACTGAGTAACACAAAATTTCTGTCTAAAACTTTTCTCAACGTTTGCAACATTAATTACGCGTGCGTAATAAGATTAACCCCAACAACACAGTATTTTGCACGAGCTAAGTACTGGCCTGTTTCTACCTTAATCAGTGCAAAATACATTTGTTAACAATAAATTATTGTACTTCATAAATAAAGCATCATCGCGCAGTTTTCCTTACTGTTTGCAAACATTTGTAAAACATGTACTTTTCAGACAATCCTGGTCAAAAGTGTTGGGACAGTTTATGGCAGATGACTTCACAGGCAGCCTCTCTTAAGACCAAGACCACGTAAGCCTGCCTACCCCCTCCCCCCTGTCAATGTTGATAAAAATCTTGAAAACCAAAACAAGCCTTGATAATAGCTTCAGAATAGCCACGTTTCAAGAATTGTTTGCCACCTAGAGCTGTCTTCTCCACCTAAAGTGACGATAACATAGATATTCACGTCTTATTCCAATAATAACGATTTTTTAGCAATCACGTTCGCTTCCAACACAACTGTCTAACCACCTTCTATTGTCCCGTCAAGGACGTAGTTAAAATCGTGGGTTTCTGCGCGCAAAAGGGGAGGTTTCCCAACAACTTATGGCCAGGATTGTAGTAATCGTACATGAACAACAAGAGTGATGTTTCAATTCAAATGAGCAATTAATCGAAAATATATTTACATTTATATCTCAACCAAACGCCTCAAAGCATAAATCTAAAAAATTCACTTCCAACCAAAAGCACTAGCCACGTATACAAGTAAACCATACAAAAAAAAACTATTGTAAGCTTAATTAAAGACTCGTATGCTACCGATGCATGACTGGCAAGCTATTTGGCTCACCAACTCAGTACTCACCCGGCAGATCCCCCCATAATAAACCTCGCATAGTTTGGAATATATCCTAGCTTCTTCTCATTCATGTTAATTTCTCTGTAATGCTCAGAATGTGCTAAATGGAGCCAACTAAGCGAGACGAACTCTACTCGCAACCCTCAGTGAACCGCAGGCAAATTACTATGGTAGGGTACCAACCGCTGACCCCAAATTTCGCATTAAACTTCTTCCCCAAGCCTTTCGGGGCCTACAATGTAGCTCCAAGAAAAATAGCTCCGTGTTAGTTAAGGTGGGACTTAACCTAAAAACACTTAAAAACACACCATGTTTCAAACATTTTTTCGTGGCTAAGAGTTAACTCCAAACCATGGCAAAGTATACA